TTTCAACATGAGTAAAGTTTAAACTATAAGAAAAAGCAAAGTCGCTTCCTACGTCAAACGTTCAACGGACGTTTTGCTAGATTTTAACAGGAATATTTCAACATGAGTAAAGTTTAAACTATAAGAAAAAGCAAAGTCGCTTCCTACGTCAAATGTTCAACGGACGTTTTGCTGGATTTTAACAGGAATATTTCAACATGAGTAAAGTTTAAACTATAAGAAAAAGCAAAGTCGCTTCCTACGTCAAAAGTTCAACGGACGTTTTGCTGGATTTTAACAGGAATATTTCAACATGAGTAAAGTTTAAACTATAAGAAAATAGCAAAGTCGCTTCCTACGTCAAAAGTTCAACGGACGTTTTGCTGGATTTTAACACGAATATTTCAACATGAGTAAAGTTTAAACTATAAGAAAAGCAAAGTCGCTTCCTACGTCAAACGTTCAACGGACGTTTTGCTGGATTTTAACAGGAATATTTCAACATGAGTAAAGTTTAAACTATAAGAAAAAGCAAAGTCGCTTCCTACGTCAAATGTTCAACGGACGTTTTGCTAGATTTTAACAGGAATATTTCAACATGAGTAAAGTTTAAACTATAAGAAAAAGCAAAGTCGCTTCCTACGTCAAATGTTCAACGGACGTTTTGCTGGATTTTAACACGAATATTTCAACATGAGTAAAGTTTAAACTATAAGAAAAAGCAAAGTCGCTTCCGTCAAACGTTCAACGGACGTTTTGCTGGATTTTAACACGAATATTTCAACATGAGTAAAGTTTAAACTATAAGAAAAGCAAAGTCGCTTCCTACGTCAAATGTTCAACGGACGTTTTGCTAGATTTTAACAGGAATATTTCAACATGAGTAAAGTTTAAACTATAAGAAAAAGCAAAGTCGCTTCCTACGTCAAAAGTTCAACGGACGTTTTGCTGGATTTTAACAGGAATATTTCAACATGAGTAAAGTTTAAACTATAAGAAAATAGCAAAGTCGCTTCCTACGTCAAAAGTTCAACGGACGTTTTGCTGGATTTTAACACGAATATTTCAACATGAGTAAAGTTTAAACTATAAGAAAATAGCAAAGTCGCTTCCTACGTCAAAAGTTCAACGGACGTTTTGCTGGATTTTAACAGGAATATTTCAACATGAGTAAAGTTTAAACTATAAGAAAAAGCAAAGTCGCTTCCTACGTCAAAAGTTCAACGGACGTTTTGCTGGATTTTAACACGAATATTTCAACATGAGTAAAGTTTAAACTATAAGAAAATAGCAAAGTCGCTTCCTACGTCAAAAGTTCAACGGACGTTTTGCTGGATTTTAACACGAATATTTCAACATGAGTAAAGTTTAAACTATAAGAAAAAGCAAAGTCGCTTCCTACGTCAAATGTTCAACGGACGTTTTGCTGGATTTTAACACGAATATTTCAACATGAGTAAAGTTTAAACTATAAGAAAAAGCAAAGTCGCTACCTACGTCAAATGTTCAACGGACGTTTTGCTAGATTTTAACAGGAATATTTCAACATGAGTAAAGTTTAAACTATAAGAAAAAGCAAAGTCGCTACCTACGTCAAATGTTCAACGTACGTTTTGCTAGATTTTAACACGAATATTTCAACATGAGTAAAGTTTAAACTATAAGAAAAAGCAAAGTCGCTACCTACGTCAAATGTTCAACGGACGTTTTGCTGGATTTTAACAGGAATATTTCAACATGAGTAAAGTTTAAACTATAAGAAAAAGCAAAGTCGCTACCTACGTCAAATGTTCAACGGACGTTTTGCTGGATTTTAACACGAATATTTCAACATGAGTAAAGTTTAAACTATAAGAAAAAGCAAAGTCGCTTCCTACGTCAAATGTTCAACGGACGTTTTGCTGGATTTTAACAGGAATATTTCAACATGAGTAAAGTTTAAACTATAAGAAAAAGCAAAGTCGCTTCCTACGTCAAACGTTCAACGGACGTTTTGCTAGATTTTAACAGGAATATTTCAACATGAGTAAAGTTTAAACTATAAGAAAAAGCAAAGTCGCTTCCTACGTCAAATGTTCAACGTACGTTTTGCTGGATTTTAACACGAATATTTCAACAAGAGTAAAGTTTAAACTATAAGAAAAGCAAAGTCGCTTCCTACGTCAAACGTTCAACGGACGTTTTGCTAGATTTTAACAGGAATATTTCAACATGAGTAAAGTTTAAACTATAAGAAAAAGCAAAGTCGCTTCCTACGTCAAATGTTCAACGGACGTTTTACTGGATTTTAACAGGAATATTTCAACATGAGTAAAGTTTAAACTATAAGAAAAGCAAAGTCGCTTCCTACGTCAAAAGTTCAACGGACGTTTTGCTGGATTTTAACAGGAATATTTCAACATGAGTAAAGTTTAAACTATAAGAAAATAGCAAAGTCGCTTCCTACGTCAAAAGTTCAACGGACGTTTTGCTGGATTTTAACACGAATATTTCAACATGAGTAAAGTTTAAACTATAAGAAAATAGCAAAGTCGCTTCCTACGTCAAAAGTTCAACGGACGTTTTGCTGGATTTTAACAGGAATATTTCAACATGAGTAAAGTTTAAACTATAAGAAAATAGCAAAGTCGCTTCCTACGTCAAAAGTTCAACGGACGTTTTGCTGGATTTTAACACGAATATTTCAACATGAGTAAAGTTTAAACTATAAGAAAATAGCAAAGTCGCTTCCTACGTCAAAAGTTCAACGGACGTTTTGCTGGATTTTAACAGGAATATTTCAACATGAGTAAAGTTTAAACTATAAGAAAAAGCAAAGTCGCTTCCTACGTCAAATGTTCAACGGACGTTTTGCTAGATTTTAACAGGAATATTTCAACATGAGTAAAGTTTAAACTATAAGAAAAAGCAAAGTCGCTACCTACGTCAAATGTTCAACGTACGTTTTGCTGGATTTTAACAGGAATATTTCAACATGAGTAAAGTTTAAACTATAAGAAAAAGCAAAGTCGCTACCTACGTCAAATGTTCAACGTACGTTTTGCTGGATTTTAACACGAATATTTCAACATGAGTAAAGTTTAAACTATAAGAAAAAGCAAAGTCGCTACCTACGTCAAATGTTCAACGGACGTTTTGCTGGATTTTAACAGGAATATTTCAACATGAGTAAAGTTTAAACTATAAGAAAAAGCAAAGTCGCTACCTACGTCAAATGTTCAACGGACGTTTTGCTGGATTTTAACACGAATATTTCAACATGAGTAAAGTTTAAACTATAAGAAAAAGCAAAGTCGCTTCCTACGTCAAATGTTTAACGGACGTTTTGCTGGATTTTAACACGAATATTTCAACATGAGTAAAGTTTAAACTATAAGAAAAAGCAAAGTCGCTTCCTACGTCAAACGTTCAACGGACGTTTTGCTGGATTTTAACAGGAATATTTCAACATGAGTAAAGTTTAAACTATAAGAAAAGCAAAGTCGCTTCCTACGTCAAATGTTCAACGTACGTTTTGCTGGATTTTAACACGAATATTTCAACATGAGTAAAGTTTAAACTATAAGAAAAAGCAAAGTCGCTTCCTACGTCAAAAGTTCAACGGACGTTTTGCTGGATTTTAACAGGAATATTTCAACATGAGTAAAGTTTAAACTATAAGAAAAAGCAAAGTCGCTTCCTACGTCAAAAGTTCAACGGACGTTTTGCTGGATTTTAACACGAATATTTCAACATGAGTAAAGTTTAAACTATAAGAAAAAGCAAAGTCGCTTCCTACGTCAAAAGTTCAACGGACGTTTTGCTGGATTTTAACACGAATATTTCAACATGAGTAAAGTTTAAACTATAAGAAAATAGCAAAGTCGCTTCCTACGTCAAAAGTTCAACGGACGTTTTGCTGGATTTTAACACGAATATTTCAACATGAGTAAAGTTTAAACTATAAGAAAATAGCAAAGTCGCTTCCTACGTCAAAAGTTCAACGGACGTTTTGCTGGATTTTAACAGGAATATTTCAACATGAGTAAAGTTTAAACTATAAGAAAAAGCAAAGTCGCTTCCTACGTCAAATGTTTAACGGACGTTTTGCTGGATTTTAAAACGACTATTTCAACATGAGTAAAGTTTAAACTATAAGAAAATAGCAAAGTCGCTTTCTACGTCAAAAGTTTAACGGACGTTTTGCTGGATTTTAAAACGACTATTTCAACATGAGTAAAGTTTAAACTATAAGAAAATAGCAAAGTCGCTTTCTACGTCAAAAGTTTAACGGACGTTTTGCTGGATTTTAACACGAATATTTCAACATGAGTAAAGTTTAAACTATAAGAAAATAGCAAAGTCGCTTCCTACGTCAAAAGTTCAACGGACGTTTTGCTGGATTTTAACACGAATATTTCAACATGAGTAAAGTTTAAACTATAAGAAAAAGCAAAGTCGCTTCCTACGTCAAAAGTTCAACGGACGTTTTGCTGGATTTTAACACGAATATTTCAACATGAGTAAAGTTTAAACTATAAGAAAATAGCAAAGTCGCTTTCTACGTCAAAAGTTCAACGGACGTTTTGCTGGATTTTAACACGAATATTTCAACATGAGTAAAGTTTAAACTATAAGAAAATAGCAAAGTCGCTTCCTACGTCAAATGTTCAACGGACGTGTTGCTGGATTTTAACACGAATATTTCAACATGAGTAAAGTTTAAACTATAAGAAAAAGCAAAGTCGCTTCCTACGTCAAATGTTCAACGGACGTTTTGCTGGATTTTGACACGAATATTTCAACATGAGTAAAGTTTAAACTATAAGAAAATAGCAAAGTCGATACCTACGTCAAAAGTTTAACGGACGTTTTGCTGGAAGAAGTAAATAATATGCATTTATTCCTACCCACTAACCACTAACAGACTCACGTTACACTGAAATATGACGTAAAGAAATAAGAATGTCGATGTTTGTTAAAACTAAATAACTTTTTCACAATATGCGTACGTATGTAGCTACATCCTTAACCAACTGTACCTGAGTTTTTAAAACTTCTATAAGATCATCCTTTTCTTCAATAGTAACACGAAATGAATCAGCAATATGCATTTTTGCCTTTTTTTCAAGTTCAATTGTCTAAAAGCGATAAAAAATCTTCAGTTTATCTCAAAATATCAATACATCACGGTAAAAAAAAACCTGAGAAAGAAATTTCATTATTTATAATTTTACGATCAACGTAAAATGAATTCTTAGAATATTTTAAAAACGAAATTATATACTGATGTCTTCCAATTCTGAGATTTTCCTGATTTGTTTGTCTTGATTTTGAGTAAGATTATTCTAGAAGATAGCAAAATCAATCATAATAGTGTTGTAAACCCGTCACATTGTAGGTACTTGTATCTTCCATAGCAAATTAAGTAATTGGACTTTCAAATTCAATAATGGAATAACACAACTTATGTGAGGTGCATACTTAGAACATGTAGGAAGCTAATATTGTGGTACAATAACAACAAACAGTGCAAATTTGGAGAAAATATGAGTAACACATGAACTTTTTCTATTTTCCTTGACGGTTGCAAGAATTTCCAAAAAATTTTTAAATTTGTTTAGCATAGGTAAAAGAAACTGCACTCACTGCATTGTTCAGTTGCAAATTGAGTTAAGATAAAAAAAATCTGTTAAACGTCTATCGAATTCTAGTTTGTTAAAGAGGATTTAGATAAAATAATAACTATAGACACACACATGAAATAAAAAATTTGAATACCTGAAGCTTTCTACACACATGAAGTAAAAAATTTGAATACCTGAAGCTTTTCATTTTCTTTTTGCAAATTTTTATAAGCATCAACAACCTAAAACAAAATCAAAAATCTCATGTGTTACCACATTTGCACTGGTGAACTTAGGACAGCACCACTTAATTAAATAATTGTAGCATTTTTAACAGGGGGAAGCATTCTGCACAGATCAAGGCATTTGTGGGGATGAATCATTCATGTATCGTCATACTGTTGAGTTTCAAAGATTAAGTACAGTAAAGTAACATGCTTTGTTCACAGGGATTTTTACAGATCAATATTTAATAGAGAAACTTGTGATAATAATCTAACCTCAGAAAACTTTGTTTTATAACGGGTTAAAGCTTTTTCTTGTTTTTGCAAGCTATAAAAGTTCTTCTTTTGTTGCAGCATCATACTTCTTTTCAGACTCAGAATCATCAGACTTGTAGTCAGATTTAGGACTTTGTGGCATAGAAAACTGATGTTGTAGGGGTGTTGTTGTTACAGTAGAAGCAGCTGTTGATGTTGTGGTTGTTGCCACAGCTGTTACTGATGTTGTCACAGTTGTTACTGATGTTGTCACAGCTGTAAATGTTGTATCTTTTGATGATATAGTTGATGTTGCTGTAGTAGCTTCACTTGAATTTTCAGATATGTCTGATTTCTGCTTTGATATTCCATCATTTTGTGCCTGACCAACCAAAAGTTGCACAATATGTAATTTTAACTTGGTATCAAAAATAGTGCAAGTTTTAATCAACAATGCAAAGTTCAAGGTTGCTAAAAAGAAATAAATGCAATCATTATATTTATAGAAACGAGATAAGAATGATGTCAAAGATGGTGCTAATATTTCTTGTCCATTGGTTGGTTCATGTAATCAATTCATAACATTTTTCGCAAGATAGGCAAAAACTTATTTATGACATTAAACAGCATATTTTGAAGCTATCATTGCTTATGTACAATGTGTTTAGACAGATATGTAAGAATGCTTATGAAAAACATATAAAAATAAATTAAATGCTCAATGATTATTTTTACTACATGATGCATATAACTTAAGTAAATACTGGAAAAAATTTCAAAAAGCCTTTATTTTTTGGGTTGTGCAATTTTTAGAATAATAAAAATTCAAAAATATACAAATTAAAACAAATAGGAGAACAAATAAAAATGTTGGATAGTGCCACGTATGCTATGAACGTATTTATACTTTTATTTTAAAATGTCAACAAAATTCTATCATTTCACTTTCACTTTAAGCAAGGATTAACATGTACAGAGCAAGACTATTGGTATTTTGAATTTACCTCAAGAAGATGTTGAACTCGTGCGATTACATGTTGGGATGATGTGGTATTGTTGTGATCATCTTCGACCGTTGAAGATTTTACATCACTCTGGTTGCCAGAGACGTTGTCCTTTTCAACACAGAGGAGGTTCTCTTTAAATAATATGTTAAAGAATTTGCGTTACATCGCAATATGATTGTACTGGTTACGGTTTTAATAAGAAAAAATATTCAAAACTGTATCATCAAACTCATCGAAGTTTGTTGATCTATATCCAATACTGTATGTTGATTAGAAAATAGCTAACCTCATTTGAACGACGATTTAACTTTTCACTCTTAGATACAGGACTCTGCTCTCCTTCTGATTCACTTTCTATTTTTGTTTTAACTTTTAAACATTATTCAGAAAAATTTGTACAATTTCGCCAAAATTATATTCATCTCGCGTGTTTTACAATCTTCGAGAAGTCATTTTGCCAACTGTGCAGTGCTGCCACTTTGTGTATGCACATTTCACCTACCAAAACTTTATTTTCCCTACCACCTCCCCTACGATGATTTTCCTTGTTTCTCCCCTACTTTTCACCTACACAGCAACATATCCCAGAGCCCTCTATAGTATAAGTATGGAATGCTATAGCTGTCTTATATGATCAGTTTTCAATATATGAGGATGAAACTTCATTATATGATGATCAAACTTCATTATATGATGATGAAACTTCATTATATGGTGATGAAACTTCATTATATGGTGATGAAACTTCATTATATGGTGATGAAGCTTCATTATATGATGATGAAACTTCATTATATGGTGATGAAAGTTCATTATATGATGATGAAACTTCATTATATGATGATGAAACTTCATTATATGATGATGAAACTTCATTATATGGTGATGAAACTTCATTATATGATGATGAAACTTCATTATATGGCGATGAAACTTCATTATATGGTGATGAAACTTCATTATATGATGATGAAACTTCATTATATGGTGATGAAACTTCATTATATGATGATGAAACGTCATTATATGGTGATGAAACTTCATTATATGGTGATGAAACTTCATTATATGGTGATGAAGCTTCATTATATGATGATGAAACTTCATTATATGGTGATGAAAGTTCATTATATGATGATGAAACTTCATTATATGGTGATGAAACTTCATTATATGGTGATGAAACTTCATTATATCGTGATGAAACTTCATTATATCGTGATGAAACATCATTATATGATGATGAAACTTCATTATATGATGATGAAACTTCATTATATGGTGATGAAACTTCATTATATGGTGATGAAACTTCATTATATGATGATGAAACTTCATTATATGATGATGAAACTTCATTATATGATGACGAAACTTCATTATATGGTGATCAAACTTCATTATATGATGATGAAACTTCATTATATGATGATGAAACTTCATTATATGATGATGAAACTTCATTATATGATGACGAAACTTCATTATATGGTGATCAAACTTCATTATATGATGATGAAACTTCATTATATGATGATGAAACTTCATTATATGATGATGAAACTTCATTATATCGAATGGACAAAGGGGAAAGTGTCATTGAAAGACAGCTTGGGTTTGTTGATGTTAGTTGTGACAGGACTGCAACTGCTAAATCATCAGTGGTTAAGGGTAAGTTAAGTCAATGTAATAATGTGAAAGAGAAATTTATTGGACAGACTTATGATGGTGCATCTGTTATGTCTGGTCATCTCAATGGTGTTCAAGCTCAAGTTCAGCAGGATTATCCTTATGCTCAATTTGTTCACTGTGCTGCCCATAGACTAAACCTAGTATTATGTCAAGCTGCATCCTCCATTTCACCTGTTAAGATTTTCTTTGTTAATATTAGTGCTTTCTGCACCTTTACTAGAAATTCCCCCAGAAGAAAAGCTTTACTATCATCCCATAGGCTTGGGTTTCCTAGTCCTGGTTACACAAGATGGTATTATAGGGCTTATGTCATCAATGTCTTGCATTCTAACTATGAGAAACTGATAGACATATTTGAAAATCTTACTGATAATCCAATAGGTTGGGATGATGAAACGTTAAGTAAGGTTACTGGTTTACTTGGCTACCTAAATGGCTTCTTGTTTTGTTTCTTGGTACATGTTTTCCAGAGAATTCTTGAGCAGTCATCCATACTTTATTCTATCTTGCAAGACAAGAACACTGACTTTCATTATGGAATGAGTAGGTTTGAGAGATTCAAGGCCTTTGTTGCTTCTCTGAGAAATGATACAGAATATTGTCAGGTGTACGACCTGGCTGTTGAGAAAGTGGACCACCAGTAACCAGGTACAAACAAATGTATTTTGAAATTCTTGACACATTTGTGACTATGCTGACTGAGCGATTTCAGGATATGGAGCGTTTTAGATTTTTGACCTTGTTAACCCTAGGGTGTTTAAGATGTGGAAAGGTGAAGTACCCTCAGAAAAGATAAATCTTCTAAAGGAGGTTTATGGTGATATGTTTGACATACCAATGCTAGTTAGCCAACTTTGTTTTATTTACAGAGATAAAGACTTTCACTGTGATTCATGCGATGAACTATTGAAATATATTTTTTAGTTCCATTATCAATCTAGTATTCCAGAAGTTGTAAAACTGTTTAAGATAAATGGGGTTTTGTCAATTACAAGTCCTTCATTTTAGAGGTCATTTTCTTGTTTGAAGAGGGTAAAAAATTATCTTAGAAATACTTTGAGCCAAGGACGTTTTAGTTCTCTTTGCAGGATTTCCATTCACAAAGACATACTATCAGAGAAATAAGACGCCAACACATTGCATGATGAGGTAGTAAAGAAGTTCATTGAAAAACCACGACGACTTGCTTTCTTATACAAATAGGTATTCATATATGGCTGATAGCAAGCTGATGATGTCCATGGCATGTGAGAATTTTTCCGGGAACTTTTTAATGCAGTCAATGATGATTGTCATTTCAGCACGACAATTTCATCACAACTTTTGATAGTTGTGGATGACAAATCTGAGCCTTTTTCGGTTCTTTTGTCAAAGTTTCTTTACAAGATGTACATAGGTATCTATTTATGTATGTGGTGTTGAGAAAATAAATCACATATCTGCAACTATTTTTGAACTGTTTCTCTGCTTTACTATAAGATCCTTCGGCAATTTAAATTAACCAAAATGGTTCTATTTCCTGCATGAATATCACGCATTTTCTTTCTAAGATAGCCGTTTCTGACGTTCTAGGGAGTCTAAATTCGGAAAATTTTCTCGCTCCGCGCCAACCATGGTGGCGCCTCGTGAGCCCGACCAAATGTTTTTCGCTAGCTACGCCACTGGCCATAATTTCATATAAGCGCAAAAGACATTACGTATTTCAAATAAACGACATTTTTTTGACAGCAAACATGAAATGTTGTTATAACACCAAATAATCATTCTAATGATTATATGTAGTAAAAAGTTTGTAGTAAATTGGTTTTTTTTGTCTTAGGGTGGAGAGTTAAAAATTTTATGTACATGGATGCTCAACTACGTAAACATAATGGCATTTATTACGGCAAAGTTTATTTAAAGTGTATTGTTTATATAAAATCTATTGGAAAATCTGATGAAGATTCTTTGCAACGTTGTCATATGGCAACAAAAACAAAACAGCTGGAAACACAACAAGACAAAATAACTTGCCCACTTAAGATTAAGTTTTCACCCGAGTTCATTTTGAATTTAGTTTTCATGCGTGCTTAAAAAAGAGTTGTAAAAGAAAGTCATGAAAGGATAAACAGTGTAATACTTCATTTTGCCTTTTCCAACGCCAAATGACAAGCATTTTAAAATTTACCAAAACATCGCTTTTTATAATATATGCTTAATAATATTATTAGTATTTTTGATGCCTTTTCGAGAGTACCTGTTAGTTATATGTAAATATCGTAAATTTTTATTATTTTCTTATTTTTCGTATTTCCATACATACGAAAGCTTTCACACACTTGGGAAGTAAGTTTGATCGTGTTTTGAGTGATTTTAAAAGCTCTCACTTATTTCCCCGTGTTTTGATCAGGTCATCATAACACGAAAACCATTTAGTAATACAGCATTTGAATTTCCTTTAAATAGCTAAGAACCAAGCTTATGCATTAGCATTTTACACAATTCAAATACGTGGTGACAGATCATTAGCATTTGTGTAATATCTATATGATAAACGAACACTTTCAATAAATAATAATGGCTAGCAAGTATATTTTTGGCGAGCGAGTCTATACAATTGCGCAATTACAAGACACTCTCTAGAACAAAAATACTAACGAAAAAGATATTTGCAGAAAAAAAAATTAATTAGTACTCAATGAATACAAAGTACACTTAGGTAGCGTGTCGAATATTATGGCACAAAATAAAGTAGATCAACGCAGGAATTGTGTATTCCTTAGTATTCACGCAATTTTTTGTGATTTAAAATGTGCTTATAGTACCAACTGTTTGCTGAGCCCATCCGCCGAGATTGCACATGGTCACATCGCAAAAAGAATAGTCCTTAAGATTTTATGCAATTTGCAGTGGCGGTAAAGTTATGATTTTTATTAACTTTATTTATACTCCTTCGTTTTGGTACTGAAAGATGAGACAACATGTCATTTGAAAGGTGAATAAATGGGCTTAAAAAATACATTCAATTTCAAATACATTCTGTATTATTGAACCCCAAATCCGAATTTTTGTGATGCAACTTTATGAATACGTTTTAGCTTTTGCTTTATTTTTCAACCGTGCTCTCGTTTGACGGTTTTTCAGCTTTTTATTGCAATATACGTATTCATTGTTGTGAGTGATCGCATTTTACGGTTATTATTTTAATTGTGATGATTCAAGGTTCATCTTTCTCATCTTTTGAGCTCTCTCGTTCTTCTCGGTTCTCGAGTCCAGGTTTCATTTTTCTTATTTCTACCTGTATGGAGTAGATTTCAGAATATGTGCAAATATTCTTTCTCGAAAGGAGACCGTTGCAAATGTACTAGACCGTTGCAAATGTACTAGACCATTGCAAATGTACTAGACCGTTGCAAATGTACTAGACCGTTGCAAATGTACTAGACCGTTGCAAATATACTAGACCGTTGCAAATGTACTAGACCGTTGCAAATGTACTAGACCGTTTTGGAATGAAAGAATGCAACCCCATACCAGCACCCTAGAAACGGGAAAACTTTTCATAAACGTACAAAAGAAGATGCACCCTATACAAGGAATTATATCAACAAGCGATTGGTTATCTAACCTACGTCTCGATGGCTACACGACTAGATATTGCAGCAGCTGTGCGAATAATCTCACATATAATATATATATATATATATGCTACGATATTGAGATCAATGATGTACATAGATGATTGGAAGGAATTCACTGTTTTCAAGTATGACATCATGTTAGCTGCATACAGGCTAGCTTCAATTTGTTTTAATTTTGCTATTACTAATAAAAGCAAATAATTTAACGTGAAACGTGTATGCGTTAAACATAACAATATTGGCTAATACTTAAAAACAAAAACTGGAAAACTGTTTTCAAATGTAGAAACGTCAAAGCCTAACTATCCAATTGTCGTTTATAATGGGTGTAAATTGACAAAAACCTTTATTTTCCGTGAATAAATTACCATATAACAATACACTTATTTTCGCTATAATTGTTAATTTAGCTACCTTGAAGTCGAATCCAAGCAAGTCAATAGGAATGGTGTATTTCCGCGCGTAATTTTGCTTCGCTCCAGTTAAGAATGGCTGCAACAAATTCCAATGGGATGAAGGAAATACTGAAAACACTTATGACATTTAAGTAGATTTAAATAATTTCTTTCACAGTGTTTGTGCACATGGCTATATAAAATCTGTGCTTCCATTTCCAGTTCGATGAAAAATTTTCTTTTAAAAAGTACAACAAAAAAAATAACACAAACCTGTGTGAAGTAAAATCCAGATATCCAAAAGACAGCAGGCTTTCCATTGTCATACCATTCCTTCAAAACACGAAGACAACCTTTTCGTTAATTTTCATGACGTAAACACAATATTTAGTGATTACCTATTTCATGAATATGACAACAGGACTAACCTGTAAAATTTCAAACGATTCAGCAGGTCCGTAACATAGCCTCCCAACGGTTTTAAACTAGGATATGATCTTTTCATCCACATAGCAGGAACCTGAGTCAAGATTAAAAACAAGTTAAAAGTAGAAAGTCACATTGACACAAACGTTAGTCCTACATTTGCAAGTTATGGCATTATCATCTAGTTAGCAAAAGTTGAAGCTATAAACTGGCAGACCTCTTTAAATGACAAAACTTAGGCTAAACCCTGCCTTTAACAACAAGCTTCTCTTGATGCTGGTTCAAAAAGCAACGATTTTACCCTCAGAGATTTCGTCTAATTTAAAAGAATGCTTTTATGCATGATATACTTATCAATTTGACTAGTTAATTAAGCAATCAACATTAATGCTTCATATTCCTGCATTGATTTGCAAACATCTTTTTTGTACATTATCATAGTGCTAGCTTGGGTTTTAGCTAATATCAAAAATTTGATCAAAAGAAAATATTCATGATGTTAGAGCTTGTGTATGTTTTTGAAAGATATGTTCAAATTATGTGTAATATTATCAATATAAAAGAAATTTAATTAAGTCTGCCAATAATTTTGATTTTTCCTGTCAATTAAAAGAGAAAAGTATTCAGTATGTAATTCACTCCAAATAAGAAAGATTGTATCACAGTTTAAAATAAGCTATAAAGTTTTGTAAATTGCAGAAGTATATCAATTTGAGTTAAGGCACCATTGACATGTAGAAGGTATTCTTTCAATTTTTTAATGTCCAGGAAACAGTTATTACGACATGGTCTCTTGATTCTGTTTGAAACTTAAACCTGTACCAGACACCGATCCTTGGTAAATTAATTAGACACTAGTTACATATAGTAATAGTTAAGCTTCTGTCGAAGTTGCAGAGGAACTAACAGCAAGTGATCACTAACTGGCATATATGTACATATTTTAATTGAACGTTTAATGAAACTTGATTTTTTAATACTAATGTTGTATGTTTTTATTCAATATAACTTGTTGAAAAAACTAGGAATTGTGATGAAATTGTTCAAAGGAATGCTTGATTATATTTAGAGATGAGGCAATTCGATTAATCGATGATACCTAGCGGGGAATGGGGTGTGATTTTGAATGAGCATTAATAGTCAAAACAGGCTAATCGAAACGCAATAAAATGATAAAATAAAACATAACTTAACATAAAAATAAAATAAAATAAAGTGATAAAATAAAATTTTAAAGAAATGAAGGTTGAATGAACCACGCAATTCAATACTAGTAAAATAACTATTATTCGTTTGTTATAATCGACTATCCATATATAATTGCTCATCTCCAATTACAGATGCGTAAATAAAAAGGGAATGAATTAGCTTTCCGTCTTACGAACGACTGGTAAAAGAGGTTTTTTACCAGTCTTATAGCATCTAACAGTATATTTGTTTCTGTGCTTTACCATTCTATGTAAATAAACAAATGATGCACTTTGGGCATAGCACACAGAGTCTTCTTAAACCTGGAAAGCCAGACGAAAGTCTGTGTCCAGCAGCCATTGTATTTCCATTTGGGATTTCTCGTCTTTGTGATTTTTGATATAAAGGCTATCAATTATTTTACGAATTGACAGCCATGCTTTATCCCATGGTTGAGACCATGGCAAAACTTTTCGCTGCTTGTAAGCCATCTAGGTGGCACATGTTGTCATATGAAAAAAAAAACGGAGCTCCAATTCATTGGGTTGATTTCCTTTAACATAATGCGCAGCCAAGAAAGAGTTATAAAAAACACTTAAGAAGAGCTTTCAGATCTGAAAAAAATTAATTGTTATGTAAATGTATAATGAATACAAAGTTTTTCTGAAGATGCGCTTTTGTCAAGCATTCTCTGTGCTTACCTATAAAGAGGACTCCATTTATCGATTATTCCTCCTCCTCTAACTATAAACAAATCCCATCTTGACCACTTTTGAAGTCTTTGTTCTCCCCCAGTTTCCTTATTGCATTTTGTTTTTGTTGGTTCAACACAATCTCGTAAAATAGCTTTAATTGCATCTGGCTCATTATTAACGAACTCAGCATTGCCTATATGGTATAAATTAGCGTTAGCACTAGTTATCAATTGTGTTTAGAAACGACACAAAAAAGAAAAAAAGAAAAATTGTTTTGAAAGTGCGAGAAGGCAAAGAAAAAGCACGCAAAATCAAAATAATCCAAAGTAACAATTTCCCCACCATCACGCGTGCACGTATAACTATAATCCAAATGCTGTCATAAAAAGTTATTTTTCTATCTTAAAAAAATAATAAGTTATTAATTATCGGTACCAATGTATTGAAATTTCATCATATGTATAATATGGATGAGGTTAAAAAAATTCAAATTCATGCCGTCATTCACAAACCTGCTTTCTAACACACTGTCATCAACGACCACTTTTACGTTAGTAAGAAAACTTAGGTTTCACTGATATATATTACTATATTAGCTACAATGTAAAACTGTTTTTCATATTGTGAAATAAACAAATTTTAGACAAATATACCTTGTGACTCCACAACACTATTTCCTATTGGAAAAGTGTCGTCATCTTTATCAAGCTTTCCCAGTGTTTCGTCCATTTTTGACACGTCATTGTTAGAAAGTAGACCTGTATCATCAATCAATTCTTCACCTATAAAATAGAGTAATTCTTTGTAGTAATTTTCTGTTAGCTCTGTAATACACATATCATTGAGATAAATTTAGAGAAAGGGGTACCAATTTCCCTGCAAAATACTATATACCAAAGCAAGAGCAGTTGTGATTAAGTGTAAAAGCTTTGTTAATATATGTCAAATTGATCGTAAAAAATCGGACTTTATTCTCAAGCATGATTATAGTCATGAAAATTTTGGAGTACATACATATGTTACTTGGCTTCACACCACAATATCTTAAAAATCCACGCACACTAGTTGGTACATTAGGGAAGTTTTTTTCCAAATATTGCACATGCTGTTCGCAGAATGCCTTTCCATGCTGAGGCGACTCAGTGCTTACATTGGGATAGTTCAGCAATGGAATACCTTTTACAAAATTCTGAAAACAATTTCATATAATATTATTAAGTTACGAAAAGCAAAGGAGTAATGTTATATCAAACTAAAGTTCATCAAGTTTACATTTTCAACATATCAAATATATTTCAAATGTTCTGACTATCTAAAGAAGCTATTTCCCAGACCTTGATGTACGAAAACTCAACGCACCTAAAAAAACTCTCGGAGTAGATGATTTACGTTGGATAAAAGTGTAAATGAAGCATTCTAGATCCAAATTTGGAATTGTAATATTTAAATAACGCACGCTGGGCAAACATGAGCACAGGGTACATACCACTGGTTGTTCATACGATATGTTGTCCGCCTACAAGTCAATGCTTCCCACTAGTAATATTAGAGCTACGTATCTATTCAACTGATAGTTTATTTGATTTTAAGCTCTAAATGATCTTATCTTTCATACAACAGAATATCGCGAAAACAATGCAATGGTTTGAACATACAATGGTACCTAACGTGTTTATTCTAAACTATCTAAGAAGTGCGAAGCAAGTGACTGACCAAATTGAAAGAACAGCCTTTGGTTTTATTCGTTCCGGTGAGCCAATATATTCCTTCCTTTTTAACGTGCTTTTATTAACCTTTAAACGTAATACAGCTTGATGTATGGAATAAGGTTGCTACATTTTGCTTCAAAGCCTTGTGGTTATGTTAACGGAAAGTCTCTAGGTGCATTAAATGCACAGGAGAGGAATATAAAAACAGCAAGGCTAGAGTGAACGGTTGATATTTAGGCGCAAACGATTCTGTTGGCTAAGAAATATGTATTCATACAATATGTAATGCGTGCTTGTCATAGTATTTATGCTCGATTTGACCAAAGCTTGAAAATGCAAAATGTCAACCAAGTGCACTTCACTTCCATTCTAAAACAGGAAAACGTTGAAATTAACTAGGTCACATTATTTGTAAATTCCATAAAAAGATACAGTTTAGGAACTGTTTTACAATTAACTGTCAAACCTCTTTATTTATTTTGGATCTTGCTAGGGTACCAAAATGAACTGAACTACCGTAGAAGCGACAATTCTTTTAGTGCTTTTGGTAACAGCAGACCTGGAAGTACATGGTATGTTTGAATAGGGATGAGAAACTACGCCATATCACTTTCATGTTTATAGTAACTTTATGTTTCTATCTGTTTTTCTCGCAATTAGGTTAACTGCATTTGTTGTGCATTCTGTGCCATTCAGAAACTCGATGGCATTGACGTCGACGTAAATGTTATTAGTACAGCCATAAATTGGCTGAAAACCAAACAGCGAGGTGATGGTGCAATCATCGAGTCACATCCAGTGATTCATCAAGAAATGGATGTATGTCGTTGCATTTTCATACAGTTTATGTAACTATATTTTGGCGTTTTTGCTGTTGCTCACATTCATTTTCTTTAGGGGGACATCAACAATGATATCACCATGACTTCCTATGTAGTTACAGCGTTTCTTGAGTGCAAGGGTTTTATACAGGTAATGTAATGCTTATTTCTCAACATTCTGGACTTGTCTCTTCAGTAATTCATCTTGCCAAGTGTTTTTTGGTGCAATTTCTTCAAATTGCCGTCATATCCCAGCGAATAACTAAATCACATATTTAGATCTCTCAACAAACCGTAACAAATGCTGTGGCTTTCTTGGAGAGTTCACAAGCAAATATTGGCCGTATTTACGTAAAGGCTGTGGTAGCATACGCTTTGGCTCTGGCAGACAGCCCACAAAAACTCCAAGCTAACCAGGATTTATTAAATGTAGCAATATACGACGTCGGTATGTTCATTCGGGCTTTGTTTTTAACCTTTTTTGTCATCCATCAATAAACAAAACGATATCTTCGCTTTTAGGGAAGAACACGCGACACTGGGACGATACACAAATTGAAAATGCTATAGATGTTGAAACAACATCGTATGCCCTTTTAACTCAACTAGCTCTAAAGCGTCGAGGATATGCGGGACCGATTGTCGTTTGGCTAACGGAACAGAGAAGAGGTGGGAGA